TACCCTAAGTGTTTCTAATTTCAGGAGTGTGATATTATACTATATAACTATGGCTCCTGGCTTATAATATCCATAAACCTTATTGTAATGTTGGGGTACTTGAGATCTCTGGAGCAAACCTCGTAAAACAGAATCTCTTGCTTTGGCCTCTTCCTTCCTGCCTTCCTTTCTCCAACTCCTTTTCCTCCCCAAGGCAGGAATCTTCCCCTGCCTTTCTGTCTGGCCATAAAGAAATTATCTGACTTACTTTGTCTGATTGTAGGTCACAAAACTCCCGTTTCGGAAGGGGTCCTGCCCCATACGCTGGAAGAAGGAATGCTGCCCAGAGAGGCCAACAAAAATCTGAACGAACAGGCCTTGCTGGATTTCCCCCTCAGTCTATGAGTGTGAGATCGGACTCCTTTTTGTCCAATCACATTTCGACACGGTTGTCTATGCTTCGGTCTTGCCTATCTAATGAAATCTTCATAAAGGGCCCAAGAGGACAGGGTTTGGAAAGCTTCCGGATGGCTGAACACGTAGAGTTTCCTGGTGAGCACAGGCTGGGGGTCATGGAAACTCCATCTCCTCCCCACATACCTATGTTCTATGCATCTCTTCATCTGTATTCTTTTTTTTTTGAATTGGAGTCTCACTCTGTCGCCCAGACTGGAGTGCAGTGACCGCTGCCAGCCACCACAGCCTCAGCCGGCTGGGCTCCAACGATCCTTCCGCCTCAGTCTTCCAAGTAGTTGGAACTATAAGTGTGCGCTACTACACCCAGCTAATTTTGTTATTTATTGTGGAGATGAGTTCTCGCCAAGTTACCCAGGCGGGTCTCGAGCCCACGGGCTCAGGCAATCCACTCACCTCAGCCTCCCAAAGCTGCGGGATTACAGGCTGAGCCACCGAGCCCGTCTCATCTGTATTCTTCACAATATCCTTTATAAGAGTGGTCCCCAACATTTTTGACATCAGGGGCTGGTTTCGTGGAAAACAATTCTTCCATGGACTGATGGGGAGGATGGTTTTGAAATGATTCAAGCATATTACATTTATTGGCACTTTATTTCTATGATTATTGCATTGTAATATAGGAAAATCCAGTGCCCCCACTGATCTGACAGAAGGCCGAGCTCAGGCGGCACTGCAAGAAATGAGGACCAGCTATAAATACAGATGAAGGTTTGCTCGCTTACCCATCACTTATCTCCTGCTGTATGACCTGATTCCTAACAGGCCGTGGACTGATACTAGTCAGTGGCTCAGAGGTTGGGGATCCCTGCTTTATAACAAACTAGCAAGCTGGGCATGGGGACTCACACTTGTCATTCCAGCACATTGGGAAGCTGAGGCAAGAGAATCGTTTGAGCCCAGGGGTTTGAGACCAACTTAGACAACATGTCAAGACCTCATCTCTACAAAAAAGATTTTTTTTTAGTCAGAGTCTCACTCTGTTGCCCAGATGGGAGTGTGGTGGCACACTCACAGCCACCACAGCCTCAACCTGCAGCTCAGGTGATCCTTTCACCTCAGCCTTCCAAGAAGCTGGAACCACAGGCGTGCGCCACCACACCCAGTTAATTTTTTTATTTATTTATTGTAGAGAAGAGGTCTTGCCAAGTTGCCCAGGCTGGTCTGGAACCCCCGGGCTCAGGCAATCCTCTTGCCTCTGCCTCCCAAAGTGCTGGGATTACAGGCATGAGTCACCGCAGCTGGCAAAAAGATTTTAAAATAATAAGCCAGGTATGGTGGCGCATGCCTGTAGTCCCAGCTACTAGAGATGCTGAGTAGGAAGGATTGCCTGAACCTAGGCAGTCAAGGCTGTATGGAGCTGTGATTGCGCCACTACACTCCAGCCCAGGCAACAGAGAGAGAGAGAGACTCCGACTCAAAACAAAACAAAACAAACCAGCAAATGTGTTTCCCTGAGTTCTGTAAGCAGCTCTAGCAAATGAATCGAACCCAAAGAGGAGGACACAGGAATCCCAATATGAAGCTGGTGGGTCAGAAGTTCTGGAGGCCTGGACTTGTGACTGGTGTCTGAAGGAGGACAGTCTTGTGGGACTGAACCCTCAACCTATGGAATCTGGCACTATCTCCAGGTAGACAGCATGAGAATGAAATTGAATTAGAGGTACCCAGCAGATGTCTGTTGCTTGGTGTGTGGGGAAAAACCCCCATACACTTGGCCCAGAAGACTTCTGTGTTGACTGTTGTTGCTGAGTGAGAGAATAGGAAAAACAAAAACAAAAAACCCTTAAGGCCAGGGGCGGTGGCTCACACCTGTCTTCCCAGCACTTTGGGAGGCCAAGGTGAAAAGATTGCTTGAGCCCAGGAGTTTGAGACCATCTTTGAACTCTTGGGTTCAAGCGATCCTCCCCCCTCAGCCTCCCAAGGAGCTGAGACTACAGGTGTGCCACCATGCCCAACTTAAGGAATATGTAAAAAAAGTTTTTAAAAAGAGAAAGAGAAAAATAGAGACAGAGACCAAGGCAGAGAAATGGACAGAACTGGAAAGTTAGCAGTGACACTTCTCCCTGCCATTTCCTCTGCGCCTCCGCTAGGCTTGGATTCGTTCTCTTCGGTTCTCCTGCTGGTTCCTTGAGCACTGCGGGTCTCTGCCCCTGTTCCCAGTTCAGTCCACATATGCCTCTCAATGAGCAAGATGTTCAAATGCATCTTTTGCACTTTCTCCCATCTTTCCTTTGCCTCCCAGCTTTTGATTATTATTTGGTTTTGTTTGTTTTTTGAGTCTCACTCTGTCACCCAGACTAGTGCAGTGGCCGCTCCCAGCCACTGCAGCCTCGACCTGCTGGGCTCCAGCGATCCTTCTGCCTCAACCTTCCAAGTAGCCGGAACTACAGGCGGATGCTACCACGCCCGACTAATTTTTTTGATTTATTGTAGAGATGAGGTCTCGCCAAGTTGCCTAGGCGGGTCTCGAACCGTGGGCTCAGGCAATCCACTCACCTCAGCCTCCCAAAGGGCGGGATTATAGGCTGAGCCACCGAGCCTAGCTTGATTATTATATTTTTAAGTCATAGAGGTCTCTTCCTCTGGGGAGCAAGGAGGATGGGGGGGAGGATGGAGAGACTGCTGATTGGACCAGGAGAGGGCTGTGGCCAGTAGGCAGAGTGTCCAGGGCCATAGAGTAGATTTGCCCTGTCTTGCTCACCTCTTTATTAGAGAACACTTACCTGGGAGGCACCAGTGTCTGGAAGGCGGGTCAGGGAACTTTGCAAACATAAGCTGAGTTAGGAAAATAAATCAGTAGGTCAGACCAGGTTCCAGGGAACCAGTGTTTTCAGCTAAAAAAATGAAAGCATAGCCTTTGAGCCAGCTCTCACCAGCCCCTGGAGCCTGTGCCAGGTTCCTTTGGACTAAGGAGACAGGCCCTGCCTTACAGGAAACTGTGGTCCTCAAGGGAAACGCCAAGGACAAAAGTAATCAAACCCCTAGGGACCTGGGAGGCTGAGCTCTGGCACCAGACAGATCTGGGTTTCCAACTGTAAGTTGCATTGTGACCTTGAGCAAACCCATAACCTCTGAGCCTGTCGCTACCTACTTCTTACTTGGTCTCTCATGCTGTTTCTCTGGCTGGTTTCTACCCCTCCCCCAGGGGTGAACAAGAGCAGCTCTTGGTGGAAGGGTCGATGCTATGCGGACAGGCCATGGGAAGAAAGTGTGGCCAACCCCATTTTACAGAGGAGGAAACAGAGGCTCCAGGAGATTCTAGAAGCCGCTCGCTCGTGGTCCCATAGCCAGATGCCTGGCTCAGAGCCCCTGAGCAGAGGAGGGCTGATCCTAACCCAGACCTTAAGTGCGACGTCCCGCCGGTTCTCCCTCTCCCTGACTGCTTCAAAGTTCTCCTAAGCACATAAAAATATTTCCCGCGAAAACGTTTCCGTTCTCCATCCGCACCCCGCCCTGGGCTCCCAGACCCGCGCTTCTTGGCCCGGAGCCGGACCTGTTGCATCCCAGGACCAGCTCCAAGCGGCGAGCGGAGCCCAAAGCCCAGGGAAAGG